ATCTATTTTATTTTCCCACCTTAATATTTGGAACTTTTAATATATAATCTGCTTTGCAGAAGGTCTAGTTATCTCAACTCAACTTTATTCAAAAGAAATAGGGAACTATTTGAAATACGGAACTAGCCTCTGATTGTCCCTGAAGCTCTTCATTATTTGTTAGTAATGTTAACGTATGCCAACTTAAAAAAAAGAAGTTTAAGATGTATTTCACCTACTTACAGGTTCTACTAAATTATAAAGTTGCTGTAGAGGTTTTTAATATATTTTAGTCTTCATCTGTTTATCAGCCTATTACATGGTAAGTAATTGCTCAACCATTGAAGTTACAGTATTTGACAAATCTGCAGAAATTTTGCTGTATAAGCCAACGGAATTTTTACATTAAAAGTTAACTAATGCAGTAACTTCTATTCATTAAAGCTTTGGACAACTTAAATGATGATGAAGTGAACATTTTTTTAGGCAGATTCATTACGATTTATCAAAAATTGAAAGAGTGCCCTCTACTTCTGTTTCCTTTAGTTGGTCACTTTCTCTAATAGTGATATTGGTTTATACATTTTTCAAGTTGCTGTATATGAACTTAGGCCAATGTTGTTTATAATATGTTTGAATCATTTTATTCTTCAAATGTAGTTTTATTTATGTTTATAGAAAATATTTGAAACTGGTGAAAACCTTTTCGTTAATAAAAAGTAGAGTCCATTTTTTTGGTCATGCTTTGTTGCAAACAAAATGATTTTAGGGACAGACTGGAACTTGTTTTTCCTTTCGGACGGATTGAAACCCTACTCTCAACTTACATGCACTGAGAAAATAGTCTATAAATTCCATCATGGTTACTTTATCTCCCTTTGCCATTTAAAGCAGGAATAGATGTGGACATATTTACTTCCGGTGACATAGATCTTTCTCTTTTTATAAGCTTCTCAAAAAATACCAATTTAACAATGGATATTAGAAATAACAGGCATTAGAGTTTTTTCTGTTGTAAAAGTAACAGTGATCTTAGCTGAACTAGATTGATTGTTAAGCAGTTTTACACATTTGCCCACTGAAATTCGTTTCTTCTTTCCTTGCATTTGCATTGCATTTCGGTGCCTTTCTCATAGCCCTCACCACCGTCTACAGTGCACTGCATGTATTTGCTTCTGTTTTCATGTTTTTCACTATAATATGAGCCTAGAGAACTGTATCTGTTTTTCATCTTTTTATTTTATGTAAAGCCTAGCACATAATAGGTATAAATGTTGAATTCAAATGATCTTTGCAAAATGATATAATGTGAAAAATTCACAAGTCATTCTATTTGATAATCCTTGACCATTAAAGCTACTATTTCTGCAATTTTCTTATTCCTTCAATGAATCGGTTTTTACGTAAAAAGATTCCATACACTTGTTAGTTTTGTTTACAGGAAATTGTTTTATATACTCTAAAGATAATTACTGATAGTTTACCATCTGTTTCTATTAATGAGTCTTTTATATCTCCCTAATCACTTGCGTTGTGCTGTATTTTATATGTGAGATGATCACTAGCTTTTAGCTTTTGATGGTTTTGATACTTAAAAAATGTGCAATATCTTCTGTGATCTTCTGCAAGTTATATTTGTGACATAATTTGAATTTGAGTGCTACTCTCACAAGGAAATGTGTATTGGTAATTCCTAAAATGAGACGTTCCTCTTAGATGTCTTTATAAAAATTCTTATTTTTTTACTTTCTAAGTAGCTATGGGTTTTCTTTTCCAGGAACACAATTTTTTCAGGTTTTTTCATTCTGACAAACATGGAGAAAGAGGATTCATGTTTATTGAATGCATATTGTGTTCTTGTATCATGATGAGCACTATATAGAATTACTAAATAATTAATTACTTAATAACCTTACTCTATAAGTAATATGCTTATTTATGGGTGAGTAAGCTGCAGAGCAAAGGAACTTTTTTCTACTTGGCCTTTGCTTTATTTCAGATACAACAAAGGACACAGAAAATAGTCTTACATATTATGGATTAGTGGAAAATACAGTGGAACTTTTATTTCTGACTATATAGTCAGGTAGATATTCTTTAAATATCCCATCTATAGGGAAAGGATATATTTTTTAAAAAGATAAAATAAGGTGTAGAAAACATTAGCAACAGACTATCAAAAAAGACCTTGAATTGAAAAAAGAACCAAATAGAGCTTCTTTAAAAAGAATCAGTAATACTATAAACTTCTGTTTTAAACAGGTGACTAGACATAATTGAAAGTGAGGTTTGAAGAAATTACATGCATATACAGAAAGAAAAGGTGAAAGAAGTGAAACAGTTTAAGAAATGTGAAGGGCAGAATGAGACTGTCTAAAAATATGTTTAAATTGATTGCCAGAAAATTGACGGGTAGAGAGAATGGAAGATAGGAAGTAATGGAATTAAAAGTGGCTAAGAATTATCCTGACCTGAAGAAATTCATGGGTCCTCAGATATAGGAAGCACATTTTTGTTGTTGTATTTTCCAGATAGGGTCTGGTTCTGTCGCCCAGGCTGGAGTACAGTGGTACCATCTTGGCTTACTGCAGCCTGGACCTCTCCAGGCACAAGAGATCCAACACCTCAGCCTCCTGAGTAGCTGGGATGCAGGTGTGTGCCACCATGCTCAGCTAATTTTTAAAAATTTCTTGTAGAGACAGCCATGTTTCCCAGGCTTATCTCAATTTCTGGGCTTAAGCAGTCTTCCTGCCTCAGCCTCTCAAAGTGCTGGGATTACATTTCTGAGGCCACCACACCCAAACTTGGAAGCACAATTAATTCCAAATAAGCTACGTGACCTTAAAATTTGGAAAACCAAAGATAAAGGGAAAGTCTTAAAACTTGCCAAAAAAGAGAAAACAGATTAGATACACAAGAATATTGGACTGGCAGCGGCCTTCTGAAGCGGTCAGTGTACCAATGGCAATCAGAAGCCAATGTATTAGTACCATCAAATTTTCTACCAATTTACAGCATTATATTCAGCTAATCTGTTATTCCAGAGTGAGGCTGAAATCATTACATTTGAAGCCAAACAAAAGATGAGTGTCTTTACTACCAAGAGAGACTCATTAAATGTGCTTTAAAGCTGGGTGAGGTATACAGGTGTGAAATGTCAGGTGGTAGTTAGGTCCTCTGGTGAGATTTGGAACCATCCCATCCTATTTCAAATACTTTCATAAGACATCTCTCCCACATAGGTGGATTAAATTCAGGGATAATTTCCACAGTGGAAATTATGGATTTTTATTGTTTAAGTGGTGATTTTCTAGTATCTACTATTTTACAGTTTCTAAAACAAATCATGTATCACTGATCTTTTTCTAGAAGCCATACTCATCTGAACTATTTTGTGTTTCAAATACCTGAGGAACACATAAGGGAAAGTACCTGTTTGTTTTCTTTCCCTCAACTTCACTTACCTGTGCCATTAGTTTTAATTTCAAAGAAATGTAGTTTCTCACTTTGTTGGTCAGTTCTTAAAGTGGACTTTAATTAATCGGTTTGTGGCTTATTTATACTGATTAGAAGATGCTTAAAGTGAAGACCCTGTCACATTATATTAGGACTCTAGCAAAGAACCTGCTAGTTTGATGCCTAATAATATTTGTTCTGAGCTGACGCTGAGATACTAAACATTTCTGTGAAAAATAGAAATCAGAAAGGTAACACCAGCAACAAAAATAGCTTTCCATGGACTGCATAAACTTCAGGGAGCAATTGATTAGAAGCATCAAATCCTAGAGCAGTAGCAGGGAGAAATCATGGGAAAGGAGGAGGCCAAGGCCCAAGTTGGAGAGAAGAGGCAGCAGGACTTATTTGATTACCTTAGCATTTCCAAGTTTCAGTTAATTTTGCATTATCTTCACAATTTTTATGTTATGCTCATGTTATCTAGATTATTATTTACTTATATTTTAAAGTAAACTTATGCTTATTTATTTTTAAGAGGAAATGCTTTAATCAAAATAAAATTTGAAACCCATTCTACATATTGTAAATCAAAAGTATATGTAAAAATTAGTAAAAGGAGAGAACATAACGAAAACCACATCCTGCCAGGTGCAGTGGCTCACACATGTAATCCCAGCACTTTGGGAGACCAAGATGGGTGAATCACTTGAGCCCAGGAGTTTGAAACCAGCCTGGGCAAATCCCAACTCTACAGAAAATGTAAAAATTACAAGGATGTGGTGATGTGCATCTGTAGTCTCAGCTACCTGGGAGACTGACATGAGAGGATCACCTGAGCCTAGGAGCTTGCGGCTGCAGTGAGCTATGATTGAGCCATTGCACTCCAGCGTGGGTGACAGTGCAAGACCCTGTCTCAAACACAAACAACAAACAATTTTCTATTGCCTGTCAGGGAGCATGAGGCCTACCTTCTGTTATAAAGAGGAAAAAAATTTCAAGTAACATTGAAGACATCAAGATAATCACAAAAGATGCAAAGGCTCATGCCTGTAATCCCAGCACTTTGGGAGGCCAAGGCAGATGGATCAACTGAGGTCAGGAGTTTGAGACCAGCCTGGCCA